ACAAAAAGGCTCGTGCTCACTTTACTTACGGACGAATTGGGTAAGCATGCATGGGTCAAATCTACGTACGGACTTAAATCAACCACTATTGGCATCTATGCCTTGTGATTTTGGTCACTAAAAGTGTTTCTAGGTTACCCTTAAAACAAGGTGTGCCTATGCGCTTTAATTTGAAAATCATATCATCAATTAGAGTAACGCTAGGATAGCAATAATTGAAGTTATATTGTAAACATAAAGTAAGATTTGTTTAACAACAAAAATTGTGACTTTATCATCAGGGGCGGAGCTAGAAATTTTATCACGGGAGGGCTAAGAATTCAAGATATATGCGTGAGTTATTACTTATTGATTTCATAAAAAAGGTTTTTTTTTTTCTTTCTGAAATTACTCTCTTCAATCTTTAATATTTTGAAATTTATCCCTCAAGTAGTCGTTCAAATTGCTTCCAGCTTCCTTAATTGTTAAGTTATTTAAACATTAGTCCCTCAAATAAACAAAAATGTAATTAGGTCTGTGAATCGTCGTTATTAATTTGAAACACAACCCATAAAAATTGGAGAACTTAATAGCAATTTTAATGATTTGAGTGGTTAATTTTAATTAAGAATTTGAGGGAACTTGATAACAAAATCAACGATTGAGGGACTAATATCAAAATAAGAGACAAAGGACAAAATATGAAATATACCCCCACCCATCCATTTGGCTCCGCCACTGTTTATTATGTTGTGAAAGCACATGCTATTTCAATTACTTGTTTTAATCGGTTTTAGAAAACTGTGACCAATCAGCTTCGGACTTGCTTTGCTCTGATATCGGGTCAAAGGACGACCCGACCATTATAACTCTGATGTGGCTAATTTGTTAACATCTAGTGATTACTATGATGAATATCGATAAGGTACTTCTCCTTCAGAGAAGATCAAAATTAGAATAATGAACATCTAGTGATTACTATGATGAATCGTATTATTTTAGCTTCTCATTTCTTATAAGTAGGTTTATATGCATTTGCTAATAAATCTAACTTGCCTAACTAAATAACTACTGCATTGTGTATCCAGTAAATCTTCAGGTATTAGATAATTTAGACGGAAATACCAGCTGCAAAGTTTTGTTAAAACTCATAAGCTCTCTTTGTAAGGAATTGCGCAAGCAGCGCAATGAAGCTGCCAAGTTTTGTTTAATATGGTTGTTATCTTCAATATGTGAAACCAGAGTTGACGTAGACCGGTTCAAATTTAATTTAAGGCCCAATACATCACGATGCATCTTAAAGTGGGCTGAAAAAGTGCCACATTCCTATGCGACTAAAGCCCACTTGGTCCTTGTTCAAATGAAGCCTATACCCAACGATTTCAAGCACGGATTTCTGGAGTCCACATCACAAACAAAAGATGAGATGACGCACCCTTTCGTTACCGTCATTAAAACCCCCATATTTATTGATTTACTAGTTTTTACACACGTGCAATACACGTGATTTAATACCATGAGTATTTTTGGCAGTTTGTGCTTATTTTTTTTTAAACTCTTACATCCCGATTATTTTTTTATGTTTGTTTAAATGGGATACACCCAATTTAAATTTTCATGTTGATATTTGAATTGACAAAAAACAAATATAATTTAAAAATAATTTGAATTTTTATATTATTTTTGACCGATATGAAACTAAGCTTTATTTGAGAAAGTATAGCATTGTAAAGTGAAAAATATTAAAATAGTGTTATACAAGGAAGGTGAATATTTAAAACCAATATGGCAAAATAATTGATTTAAAGTATGTTAAAACGATGCAAAAGAGAATATGAAGTTTATTCCTAACATTGATAGACTTTATAAAAAAATATAAATTAAAGATTAATACTAACTCTAGTATACTTTTATATGATAAAAACATCCACATAAGAATATAAAAGTACTGAAAAAAATTCATGAAACTCCCTTCTAAAGATTCCTAATTTCACTCAAAATAATTAAACTATTCTATAAAATATTCATAAAATATTGTTTTTATTTCTTCTATTTTATTTTTTATTGAGTTAAGATCAATCCTTCTTCAGGTTTATCATTTATCATTTCTCGGACAATTCTAGAGTATTGTCTTCATCATCTACATCAATTGTGACATCAGGCTAATTTTGTATTTTTATGCTATTATCTTTCCTAGGCTCGTTAATTTTTTATCATCTCATTTAACTTTACAAAGAAGTCAAATGTACTTATGATGTTCAACACAAACTGCTCAAAATATAGACTTTGATTTTTTTTCTATTTCAATGAGAATAAATATTAATTTCATATATATAAAATTCTTTGTGTTCCTAATTTATTACTTAAATAAATTAGAAGCTATCTCTTTATTTTCCTCTAAAATGAATTCTTCTGATGTGCATCCAATAAGAATTTCTGTTATTTCAATAATATTACCTTTGCTCTATCCCTGTCATTTTCCATAAAGATCTAAACTAAATACCTGCATTATTCATTACCAATTTCTCTTAGATTATAATATTAATATTTAATTTGAAGAACACAGTATGGAATTTATGAATACTTACTAATTTTTCTTATGTCTTCCATGGAGATTTTTTCTTTGATTAGGATAAAGTTATTAAATTATTTTTTAATGTAACTCATTCAGTGCTTCATTAATAGATATGTCTTATGTTAATGCCAATTCAAGTGATTCATTGACGTTTTCTGAATTTTAGATTTATTTCCATCACTTTCCCATTTGCAATGGAAATAACTCAATTCTTTTAAAGTTATCTCTAAATATTCTAATAGTTTCTCCATATGTAATTCCTTGTATTCTTTTACCCTATAAATATTATTAACGTCAAAGATTAAAGTTTCTAAATTAAAATCAATTAATGCTAAGGTATAATATTATAGTGTTTTATCATTTCTATGGATTTAAACATCTATCAATTAATGTTACGAATGTATTTTGGCTACCCCAACTTATTACTAAAATATATATATGAAAAATACCAAACAATTACACTTTTCTTTGCCAAGTTTTAAAATTTTAGCCTATTTTTGTGGTTTTGAACTTCGAGGGTATGATTTATAATTTTTAAAATTTTGAAAGAGGTTTTAAAAAAAAATTACTTTTAAGTTTGGTAGTTGTAAATTCTATGTTTCATGTGTTGATGGTAATTTTTTAAATGTTAGTATATTTTTTGTAACTCTAAAATTTTGAGGGTGTCTTTTGTAATTATTAAAACTATAGATTAATTTTGAAAAATATTAAATTTCAGTGGTCTACCAATCGACGAATTTGATGTGTGCTAGTTAAAATTTTTGAAAATTTAGAGTTTTTTTTTACAAAATTTAGAGTTTTTTTTTACGATTTTTAAATTTTGAAGGAGTTTTTTAAAAATTTTGAGGTCAATTTTGGCAATTTTTAATTTTTAGGTGTCTAAGAGTAATATCTTGAATTCATCTTATTTTATTTATAAATTTTAGAATTTTAGGGTGACTTTTTATAATTTGAACTTTTGAATGTGTTTCTACAATTTTTTAGATATTGAGGGTGTTAATTAAAAAAATAAAATTTAAATGTTAAAAATTTTAGGTGTATCATGGTAATCTCTTGAATTCATCTGTGTTGTTTGTAAGTTTTAAAATTTTAGAATTTTAATATGCTTGTCTGTAATTTAAACTTTTGAGGGTGTTTCTATAATTTTTGAGACATTGAGGTGTTAACTGTAAATTTTAAATTCTTTGCAAACTGATGTTAATTTTTTAATTTCATGTTTTTTATTTTAAGTTTTGAGACATTTGGATGAGTTTTATAATTTTGAACTTTTCAGGGTCTTTTCTGCAATTTTAAAACTTTTTATGGTTTTTTTGCAATACTTCATGTATTATAATATGTTATCTACTTGTAATTTCTTTATCTTAACAAACTAATATCATTTTTATGTTTTATATATTTTATTAATATTAGTTTTTTTAAATTGTTAAGCTAAACATGGTTCACATAGGATTAGGATAAGATATGATTATGATTAGGATAGATTAAGATATAAATAAAATATTCAAAATAGTGAAGGGTAATATTGACCATTGAAAATTAGAATTTGATTATAGATAAGGTAGTTCAAACTATAAAGGGGTATATTTGTCTAAAAAAGATTTTCCGAACTCGTGCTTTTAAAGGGAGTATGATAAATGCGCCGAGAAAAGTTAAAAGCAGAGCTATGAATGTATAAAACAGAGAAAATATAAAAACTGCATCCTGAAACATGTGAGCAAAAGCAAACCCATAACCTTCCTATATGTACATCAAAGATCCTGGCATATACAATAAGAACATATATGATCAAAATCCAAATCCAATGATAATTACGCCTGATGAAGCCTAATTAACTCCAACTCCTAGCCTAATTAAGCCTAGCCCTAGCTAAAAGTAAGCATTAAATAACCCTACGCTTTTGGATCCTTAATGGGGCAGTATGCGAAAATTTCAGAACGAAATTAAGGAATTTAGGAAATGTAAGAATATTCACATATGCAAATATCATAGCTAATGTTATTTGAAATCTAATAATCAAGAAATAAAGTATGTTGGATCTTAGGAATTAGGATTTGGTGATTGTTTTGATTAGATCTGAGTTGTTCTTTGGCACAGATCTGAGTTGGATTTTAGGATTTGGTGATTATTTTGCTCGAAAAGAGGAAGTTTGGGTTCATCGAGTAACTGCGAAAAGAGGGATTTTGGGTTCGTCGGAGACTCAAAAAGATCATCAGTAACTCTCCAAAAATTGAGAGCTTTCGGGCAAAAAAAACCCTAATTTTAGTAGTTCAGGATCAAATTGCTAGGTTAAACTGGTTGCTAATGAACTTTTTGGCTCTTTAACTTCAGGGATCACGGAGAGTCGGAGACGTCGTCAGATCTGAGCCCGCTTCAAATTAGGTTGTATTATTCTGAATCTTTTGACTTCTTTCAATTTCATTGTAGTATTTTTTGTTTTATTATAGAAATGTCTCCAAGAAAGTATCCTTCTGGATATGATAAACGTAAGAAAAAAAGAAAATTTGAACAATTTGTCCAAACTCAAAGTGGAGCGCTTGATAAATTCATTGTTAAAGAAACACAAGATTTAGTTGAAAATTCAATTGAAAATGATAACATTAATGATTTGGGCTTGAATGAATATGATAATGAAAATGAAAATGAAAATGAAAATGAAAATGAAAGTAAAAATGAGAATCAGAATCAGAATGAAAATGATATTAACAATGAAAATGAGAATGAAAATATTTTAGGCAATGAACAACCTAATCAGTCCATGCTTATGAATTTGAATATTTATGATCCAAGAACTTGGGATAATTTGGATACAAAATCTAGAGATATATTACTGGAAAATGGGCCTATAAGAGATCTATTAGTCGAAAAGGATCCTAAAGATAAATTAGGAAGATGTTTTTCTTCGGCATTTTACACTAGACATTTATCAAATAGAGAGAAATGTGATAGGGAGTGGTTAGTTTATTCAAAGGATATCGATAAAGTATTCTGTTTTTGTTGTAAATTGTTTAAAAATGGTTTTAAGAAAAACTTTTTGATAAATGAAGGATTTAATGATTGGATACATCTTAGTTCTAGGCTTAAAGAACATGAAACAACTAATGAACACATCATTAACATGACATTAGATGATAAAAATTTGAAAGCATGTTGTGATAATCTTGAAATTGTTCTAAAATATAAATTAAATTATGATCTTGATGGGAAAGATTTATTTGGAGAACTAAATCTTACGAAATATTTTACCAAAAGAAATAAAGATGGCTATTGATATACTGAATTTTTTAAAAATACGAAATTGTTTTCCAAATGCATGTATTGCTTATAGAATATTATTGACTATACCTGTTACAGTTGCATCTGCAGAAAGAAGTTTTTCAAAATTAAAATTATTAAAATCTTATCTGAGATCGACCATGTCACAAGAAAGATTAAATGGACTAGCTTTGATATCCATTGAAAATAATTTTTAGATAAAATTGATGTTAAAGGCTTAATTAGTGATTTTGCAGCTAAAAATGCAAGGAGGACAATTTTTCGATGATACTTTTTGATGCTAAAGGCTTCGATATGTCTTATGAAGGTAAGCACAGATACAAAAGGAACATAATATTTGGTATTTCTTATTGTGGACTATTTACTCTATTGGAAAGCTTTATTAAGATGAGATTACATGCATTTATCTGATCAGTAACATTTTATTCAGGTGATTGAAGAGATGGGCAATAGCACTTGAAAAGTATGTTAAAGACTATCCAGATGTAAAAAAAACCAGGTAATATTTTAATGTCTGATCAGTAATATTTTATTTGCTAGCATTTTAAGGATTCGAATTGGAAATTATTGATATTTAGGTAATATTCAAGGGTCTATGTTTACTTTTCGCACAGGGCCCCTAAAATCTCAGAACCGGCCCTGCAAGAAGCAATTCGATATATCAAGAGAGAGCACAAAACGATTTCACAGCCAAACTCACAACAAGATGAAGAAAAGGGTGTCCGTCGAAAAATGTTGCATATGTCTTGATGTACATACTCTAGATATATGGCATGAATATAATATATGACCAGGGTCTTAGTAATTATTATATTAATAGATAGCTGGTGAGGGTCTTAACGGCTCCTCCCACCACCGCAGTTCTTTCCCCTCTTTGGATCATGCTTGCAGTTGGCCCCTCCCGTGTCGTAGTCTAGTGTGACTTCTACCATAACCTTTCTTGAGCTAACCTGATAAATTTAAGGAAATTGACGTGCGTAAATAAAGTCAGCATTTCTTTAAGAAATATGCATTATTGTGAAGTTAGGCAAAGTTAGCCCAAATATGGGGTGGTGTGTGTGTGTGTGTGTGTGGGGGGGGGGGGTGTGGGGGGGGGGGGGGGGTGATCTGCCTGATATTCCGCAGATTTCACGGAAACATTAGAGAGTTTAGAAAATAACATTTTAGCCTCACCGTTTACACTTCTATGAACTTTACTCAAAGTGTACAAACTGTAACGTACAATTTGATACCCATTTTCCCTTCTTTATTAACCATGTATTATGATTATTATATTGAAAGTCAATGATTCCATTAAAAAAATGTTTACTATTTAACTTGAAATGAAATGAAATTAAAAACTATTCACAGTTTGAGGAAATGTGTTGATTCACATACTACACTATTTTTTCCTAGGGGAAACCAGTAGTTTACCCCCCGCCCCCGCCCCCCCCCCCCAACAAAAAAAAAACCCCAAATAAAAAAAATCCGCCCTGTGACTAATCCGGCTCGGGCTGGTGGCCTACCCCTTCAACAAGTGCCGCTTTCAGATTTCGAGCTCTTTGCCGAGAGGCATGAGCGCGCCTGGCGACCAGCTTGCCTTACCACTGGGCCAACAGCTTGTTTGGTCACCAGCCCCTAATGTTAGTAATACATATTTCTAATTAGAAACCCTTCACTTAATATTTTTAACAGATAAAGCTTTAATGTTATTGTTTCATGTCTATTGAGTCCCCATGGTGGTCCTCGCAGGCCTCCAGCAACATAGCCAAAACACAATTCTGTTGAGGGTAATAGGTGGAATACTTCTGGTGGCAGAACAACTAAAAGAACTTGATAGGCCAAAAATAGTAACTATAAGGGCTTAATGAGTCAGATATTAGGTTAACTGCTTCTTAGAAATGTCAGGTAAACATTAGGAGCTGATCTAATTTTGAGCTCTGATACGGTACTTTAATGGTGGCATATGGACAATATTCACAACATCAATTGTTACGTATAACTACGTGCATAACCTTGTTCAAGGGATCTTCAGGCTTGAATTCTCTCGGCTGTGCTACGAACTTGGCCTGTAAATAGCAAGAAAAATTATTGTGTTTTTATTCTTTGAGACTTCAATAAATTTTGCAAGACCTTCAAAAATTATAGCAGTAAATAGCCTCAAATATTACCTCCATAAGATATGCCAAGTGACAGATTTCAGAGTATCAAGATTAGATCTATGTTTACTTTTCGCACAGGGCAGGGCTAAATACGCCCTGGACATGCTAGAAAGCAATTCGATATATCAAGAGAGAGCACAAAACGATTTCACAGGCCAAACTCAAGCAACAAGAATGAAAAAAGGGTGTCCGGTCGAAAAATGTTGCATATTGTCTTGAGTAGCATAACTCTAGATATATGGCATGAATATATAATGACCAGGGTCTTAGTAATTATTATATTAATAGATAGCTGGTGAGGGTCTTAACGCTCCTCCCACCACGCAGATTCTTTCCCCCTCTTTGGATCATGCTGCAGTTTGGCCCTCCCGTGTCGTAGTCAGTGTGACTTCTACCATAACGCTTTCTTGAGCTAAACCTGATAAATTTAGGAAATTGACGGTCGCTGTAAATAAAGTCAGCATTTCTTTAAGAAATATGCATTATTGTGAAAGTTAGCAAATATTGGGGTGGTGTGTGGTGTGTGTGTGTGTGGGGGGGGGGGGTGTGGGGGGGGGGGGTGATCTGCCTGATATTCGCGATTTCACGGAAACATTAGAGAGTTTAGAAATAACAATTTAGCCTCACCGTTTACACTTCTATGAACTTTACTCAAGTGTAAAAACTGTAACGTACAATTTGATACCCATTTTCCTTCTTTTATAACCATGTATTATGATTATTATATTGAAAGTCAATGATTCCATTAAAAAAATGTTTACTATTTAATTGAAATGAAATGAAATTAAAAACTATTCACAGTTTGAGGAAATGTTTTGATTCACATACTACACTATTATTTTCCTAGGGGAAACCAGTTTAGTTTACCCCCCCCCCCCCCCCCCCCCACACAAAAAAAAACCCAAATAAAAAAAATCCGCCCTGTGACTAATCCGGCTCGGCTGGTGGCTACCCCTTCCAACAAGTGCCGCTTTCAGATTTCGAGCTCTTGCCGAGAGGCATGAGCGCGCCTGGCGACCAGCTTGCCTACCACTGGGCCAACAGCTTGTTGGTACCAGCCCCTAATGTTAGTAATACATATTTCTAATTAGAAACCCTTCACTTAATATTTTTAACAGATAAAGCTTTAATGTTATTGTTTCATGTCTATTGAGTCCCCATGGTGGTCCTCCAGGCCTCCAGCAACATAGCCAAAACACAATTCTGTTGAGGGTAAAGTGGGAATACTTCTGGTGCAGAACAACTAAAGAGACTTGATAGGCCAAAAATAGTAACTATAAGGGCTTAATGAGTCAAGATATTAGGTTAACTGCTTCTTAGAAATGTCAGGTAAACATTAGGAGCTGATCTAATTTTGAGCTCTTGATACGGTACTTTAATGGTGCATATGGACAATATTCAAACATCAATTGTTACGTATAACTACGTGCATAACCTTGTTCAAGGGATCTTCAGGCTTGATTCTCTCCCGCGTGCTACGAACTTGGCCTGTAAATAGCAAGAAAAATTATTGTGTTTTTATTCTTTGATACTTCAATAAATTTTGCAAAGACCTTCAAAATATAGCAGGTAAATAGCCTCAATATTACCTCCATAAGATATGCCAAGTGACATTTCAGATATCAAGATTAGGAGGGTGAAGATGAAGACGTGTGTGATCCTTGGCATTGTTAGCTTTGTTGGTGGTGTTCTTTAGAGGCTTGAGGGTGGGTTGAGAACAGTGAGGATGGATGCAAATAAATAGCTAGAGAAACCAATGAAGATTTGACATAGTCCATACAAACATCATAACTTTGTGATCAAAAGTCATATCCCATTAGCTCATTTGCACAAAGTCAACCGCACTATTTTGGAAGTACTTCAAAATGCTTCATCGTTTTTCCTCCAAAAAAGCAAATATATGGTTGACAGAAGAAAATTTGTACACGCTGAAGAAATGGTGAGCACAACGAAGAAGACCGCAGGAAAAGACGAAGAACTGTTTTTGGGTGCTGTGCGGTCGACCGCGTGTGGCGCGGCGGTCGACCGCCAACGTGCACGAGGATGAGTTTTGGTCTGTATCAGGTCGTGGTCGACTGCACTTGATACGAGCTGCCGTGCGAGCACCTTTGATCGTGAAATTATCAAAGGTGGGTTGAGAAGAGGATGACAGAAACACAAGAACAATTCAGTATGTGGCGAAGGAAAATACCCTCTCTAGATTATGAGTATGAAAAGATTACAATCACTCTCTCACAATCTCACTAGAATTGAGAACAAGCTCTCAATTCTCTCTAAACCCTAATCTCTCTTGATTAGAATCTCACTTTGATTACATCTGATTCTTTAGAAACCCTAAAACAATCCCTTATATATGTGTAACAACGTGGATGGCAAAGTGGTAAATAACCAAGCCAAAACCCCACAGAAATTCGTGCAAACAAAAACCCAAACGAATCAGGAATCCTTCGATGAGTCGACTCATGTGCATATATGAGTCGACTCATGACACATGAGTCGACTCATACAGTGATGAGTCGACTGGTCAGAGACTTTTGACAAAACGGCTGAGTTTCATGAGTCGACTTATGACAAGCATGAGTCGACTCAACCTGATGAGTCGACTCATGATTGTTATGAGTCGACTCACGGGCTAAAAACTAGATGCATCGATTCTTCGATTCGTGGTCTCGTTCTACGCTTCAACCAGTGTTCCATTGTGTTGTTTTACACCTCTATTCTCATGTTATTATGAGAATCATCTATCCTCAAGCTACCATGAGGATCGCTAAGTTCCGAAGAGAAGATACACCCGTATCATGGGTCTCCCCTTTAAGAACTTGAAGTCCCATTCAAGTTAGAACTTTAGCTGAGGAAACTCGCGAGCTCCTCCATCCTTATTGTACCACCTGGCCTTACTAGGAACCTGATATCGACGTACAACTAGAAACAACTCTTTCTTTCCTCGCCTCATCGTAGTCGTCTTCCGCTCCAACATACAACTCCTTTTCGATGGCTCGTCTTAAAGTCTAATGCACAGCGAGACAAACTTCTTGCTTGCATTCACTAGTCTCTTTGCTCGCGTCACCGTCGCCAAGTTTGCCTCCCTCGAAAGAGACGCCGAACGAAATATGAACTTTTCACCATCCTTAGTGAATGTGTACTTCTGAGCCCATCTTTTGTAGATCGTGTATCTATCCCACAAGTACGGATTGCCCAGTATAACCTGACAAACATCTAATAGAACGACGTCGCACATGACTTCGTCAATATACGACTCGTGGATCGTAAAGCTGACAGTGCATTGATCAACTACACTTAGTCCCGTCTCCTTTTGAAATCACCCCAATGGATATGATTTCGGATGTTTGACCGTCTTCAGACCCAGCTTCTGAACCAAGGCCTTGATTATCAAATTCTTTTTGCTGCCTGGATTAACAATAACATCAACCAAACTAGTCTTCACTTGTAACTTCAGCACAAAGAGCTGCTCTAAGGGGTCTTCGTCCTCTTTCGTGGCATGTTTCCCTGCCATAAGATTGAGACTACTGTTGGGCTCTGTCATCCCAGAGACTTCCTTCGGATCCTGTGCTATTATATATGCCTTTTTCTCCTCTTTCTTCTTCAACC